GGGGAATTGTAAGGTCAGAGAATAAGTCTAGAAGGCTTGTACCCTTTCACCAGTGTGTAATCAATTGCAACGATAACGCGAAATAACTAAATATGAAAAATTAGGAACTGTTTTTATAGCCATTTTTTCCACTGCTGGTTGGCCAACCTGCGTTGGAAAAAGACAATATTTCTTGAAAATGTCAGCAAACCAGGAGCCATGATTTTACAGGATGCTAAGCTTTAGACTGTCATTCCCTAACAATCCAGTGAAGTATTTCGTGAAAATGTGACCATGTCGTTTTTTTATGCTTGCAAATGTTGTATCTACCCTTAACATATGTTTCATTTTTGCAATAAAATGCTCTTCAACTATTTAAATAATAACACAGTCAGTGATAACTATGTGTTAAGTTTTATATAAAGTGTTAAACGCTGTTGAAAGAATTAAAATGAAAATCATTTTCAGAAAAAAAATCCAAACTTGTCTCTTCTATAGTTTTCAATTTTTTGATCCCATCATAGATGGAGGATTAAATAATATTAAAAAAAAAAAAATTTAACATACAATTTTAGTTTTTATATTTTTGAAGTATTTGATTCTGAAAACAAAACTTCATTTTTTTTTAAAGAAAAGTTCACCAAATTTATTTTTGGGGAAAGAAAAAAAGAAGAAAATTAAGTAATAATATAATCATGGTGGGATTCGAACCCGAGTCGCCAGATTGGGAGTCTTACGCCGGTCCAGCAGACCATTAACGCGCTCAAATGCACTATTAGTTCTTTTTAATTATAAATGTAAGATAGACTTATCACGGCTTTTCACGTACACGCCCATGCACGCTTAGACGTAAAACACAGTCTGACCGTGTAAATCACTCGTTTGATTTTGGGTGTAGCTGTTCAAGTTGATCTAAATTTATTTGGAAAAGGATAAAGGGTGTCAACTGAACTGAAATCCAGAAATTCCATGGAATAAAACTCGACAATCCTTGGTTTCACTACGAAACACACGTGTTCAACGGATGCGCAGAGAAGCCTATTTCTTTTGTTAATTTCCTTTGTTGAATCTTGCGTTAACAATAAAATGTTTCCATTGAGAGAAAAGGATTAAACGCCGCGATCTTTTTTCACGCTTGAGTGCATCTGAATAGGGAATATTGAAGCGGAAAATCACGAATTACAGCACTTAGGCAGCATTTTATCCCACAAAATGATACTTTTTGGAGAGGAAATTGCATACTGAATACAACTGAAGTTTCAAAATTCAAAAATTCGCCGTATTTAAAAAGTCGAGGTAATTTTTTTGGAAAAATTTCACCCAACCTTTCCTCATCCGAACGTAGGAGGCGCTATATATATTTTATTTTCGCACGTGCACCGTATTCAGAGTTGGCTAGCGCATTAGCGTGTGTATGGCATTGCAAGGGATGGGGGCGGGGCTGGCTGCCTGTTATGTATACATGTACGGTTTATAACCTTTGTTTAAAAACATTTTTCCACTAACGACTTTTAGTAAATATATTTCGCTTGTTCCCCCCTCCCCCCATCTCACACGACAAAACAAATTCCCGCCCCCCTCTTGCTTCATGGGTATACCGGGGCCCTTTTATTAATATCCTTATACGCGTCTCTTTTGTTCCATTAAAGTTGACTTTTATTCGGATTGCATTTTTTCACTGACCTTAATTATCTATTGTTTTAGTTGTAGACTTATTCAACTTTTATTCCTGAGATAAATTGAAATTGTGATGCTAAAATAAGATTGGGAAAACGGGTGATACACAGATCGGGCGGCGGCTATCGCGCTAACAATGCGCGCACCTACTGAGAATGAAATATATGTATAGCGCCGCCTACGATAAGATGAGGAAAGTTTTGGTGAAATTTTTCCAAAAAAATTTCCTCGACTTTTTAAATACGGCGAATTTTTGAATTTTGAAACTATAGATGTATTCAGTATGCAATTTCCTCTTCAAAAAGTATCATTATGTGGAATAAAATGGTGCCTAAGTGCTGGAAATCGTGATTTTCCGCTTCAATATTCCCCATTCAGAGGCACTCAAGCGCGAAAAAAGATCGCGGCGTTTAATCCTTTTCCCTCAATGGAAACATTTTATTGTTAACGCCAGATCCAACAAAGGAATTTAACAAAAGAAATAGGCTTCTCTGCATCCGTTGAACACGTGTGTTTCGTACTGAAACCAAGGATTGTAAGAGTTTTATTTCATTGAAGTCTACAATTTTAGTTCAGTTGACACCCCTCACCCTTTTTCAATTAAATTTAGATCAATTAGAACAGCTACACCAAAAATCTAACGAATGTTTTACATCTTCAGACTGTGTTTTACGTCTATAAGCATGCATGGGCGTCAACGTGAAAAGCCACGATAAGCCTATCTTACGGTATGATATAGCAGAACTGACGCTTTGTTTAAGTGCGACTATGGTCTGCTGGACCGGCGTAGGACTCCCAATCTGGCGACTCAGGTTCGAGTCCCACCATAGTATTGTTGTTTTATTGTCTTCACTTTTTTTCTTTCCCAAAAATGAATTCACTGAGCTTACTTTTAAACAAATTGAAATTATATTATTTTTTTTTTTACCTTCCCAACTTTTTATGGCCCCATGCCCAAACATAAATTTACTAAACTTATCTTTTAATAAATTGAATTAAGTTTTGTTTTCAGAATCACAAACAAACTACCAAGAAAACAAACAAATCAATAACAAACAGGTATTTTTTTCACTTTTATTTATTGTGATGATTTAATATCTCTTTATTCAAAGAACTATGCACAGCATTTCAACAATCTTTTAAGTAACATTTACTTTTAAAATTCACCTACACAATATTTACACTGCAAGATAAGATTTATCGGACTTGAAGGGAATGTACAACATTTGCTTTTGCTGCAATTTTCAGAAATAAATGGATTTGGAGGATTAGTATGTTATAGCAAATATTGTTAAAAAGACTTTTTTCGCATTTGGGCTTGTAGATGCTGGAAAAGCCAAGAAAACCAGACATGTATTTGCAGTCTGGTGACCCCACTTATAAGATAAAACGGAGCAATTAATAGACTTTGGGGAATTGTAAGGTCAGAGAATCAGTCTAGCAGACTTGTACCTCTTCACAGGTGTGTAATCAATTGCAAAGAAAATGCGGAATAACTAATTATAAAAAAATTGGGAGCAATTTTTGAAAATAGCCAGTTTTCTCCAATGCTGGTCGGCTGACCAGCGTTGGAAAAGAACCATTTTTCTTAAAATGTCAGCACATCAGGAGCCACGATTTTACAGGATATGCTTTAGACTGTCATTCCCCAACAATCCAGTAAGGTATTTCGCGATAATTTGATCATTTCGTTTTGTGATGTTTGCAAAAGTTGTATCTTCCCTTTAAAGAAAGGCAGTAAACATTTAATGTTTTTACAGATGAAATAAAGAAATGAAGTCAGAATATCACACAATATTGGAAAAGAATGTTGCAACCAGACGCCACTTCAGCAGTTGTGTGCAAAGTCTATGGAGCGTCAAGAAATTTTTCTCTTAAGTATTTCCCAGTCCCAGATTCATGTCTTATCATCATTTTTGAAATGAATGACCTTATTGAGATGAAATGAAGAAAAAGCAGCATCAGGTTGCAACATTCTGTCCCAATATTGTACATGAAAAAAATACAGTATTGACAATGTGATAGATAGACGGAGAGGCTCTGCTGCACTCTAAAAACAACTTAGTCAAAATATTGACTAGTTTTCCCAGTTATTGGAAATTGAATAGGAATTTAGTTAAACATGCAAAGTTCAATACTATGACTAGAAACGTAGTTGGGTTCGACTCCAATTTCAGTTATTTGCATAACTACTTTTCCAAAGTCAATAATACTGACTGGAAAAATCTAGTCAGATTGACTGATTTTCAGTTGCACCCAGCTGACCCTGAATGGCTAGTCAAATTTGACTGGTTTCTAGTCAAATCTGACTAATGCTTTTTTAGAGTGTGGCAGAAATTGTGTGCTTAGCAGCGCTATGAAATTGGGCTCAGTTCAAATCACTCATCTTCAATTTGTTTCCTGCCTTCTGGACCTTACACCCTCATTACCTGACAAACGTGATCTGAAAACTTGTACATGTATATTTATATCAATATAAACCATTAATTAGTATAATTACATTACGTACAGATGACTACCCCCCTCCTTGAATAACCATTCCTGGCCCATTCTCATGCCGTTGGCTTGTCTCTAAACAGGCCCCAGAAACTCCAAGAAAACAAACTTGCAGAGTTGTCCTAAGCAACATTTATGACGAGAACCTTTATAATTATGATATGAACATTTCAATGCTACCTGACTTCAACTGTCTGACTGAGTCATCTGAGTATCGAGTCAGTCACTATTAGTCACGTACTGACTGACCGAGTCATTGAGTTACTGAATGAGCCACTGACTGACCGAGTCACTGAGAGAGTCACTGACCGAGTCACTTACTGAGACACTGACCAAGTCACTGAGTTGATGACTGAGCCACTGAGTCGCTCAATGAGTCACTGAGTGATTCACTAACCGAGTCACTGACCGAGTCACCGACGAGTCACTGACCAAGTCACTGACTGAATCTGACTCAATCACTGAGTCGCTGATCGAGTCACTGAGTTGCTGACCGAGTCACTGACTGAGTCACTGACTGAGTCACAGAGTCCAGCTTAACTAGGCAAGCCTACTTTGTTTATGCCATGAGAGACTAGCCTCTCTCCAGAACTGTTGTTTTCTCCTGCATAACCACCTTGCCAAAGCTAAATAGAGAAATATTCCAAGGCAAATTTCCCAACGTGATGAACAATTAAATCACTCTTAAATTAATCAACAGTACCATTCCATTATTTCAAAATCCCTTTGCGAAGCAGGGTTTTTTGGAATGTACAAATTTAAACAATCTCAAGACTAGAATAGGGACCACCTCAGGAAACTGGTACCCTGTTGTCCTTGGCCCACTTCTTCATGACACGGATGATGTATTCCACCTGCGGGTTACCGGTGTTGCGCAAGATTTGGAGGATGTCTCGCAGTGTTTCTCTGTAGAGGAAAAAAAATGACAAAAATCTAGTGGCTTGAACTTCACTGGGTTTTGTGCACATGAAAATGAAAGCTATTAACAAGATGGACTTTGCGTCGAGGCGATGTCAATCAATATTAGGATTTGTCCTTCACCGATGTATAAACACTGTATACTCAGTGTGTTACCTCCCGAGTGAAAGTTGGGAAAATAATCACTTGGGTGGGATTCGAACCCACGACTCGACCATCGAGCTTACAGGGTTGGTTGGCTGGCTAGGCAACCAATTCTGTAAGCTTGATGGTCCAGTGGTTAAGACGTCTGCACTAACAAGCAGGAGGTCATGGGTTCGAGTCCCAACCGAGTGATTTTTTCCAAATTTCACTCGGGAGGTAACGCACTGAGTATACAGTGTTTATACGTCAGTGAAGGGCAAAACCTAATAGTGAAAATGAAAGCTGTTTTAGAATATGGGGACAAAGGAGTCCATAAAGATCAATGAAGTTGAACTAGAGGGCTAAGAAGTTGAGAAGTATTCATGAAGATTTGTAATAAAAAGCTGTATCCTCTCTGAGTGATCCCCGTTTGATATTTGCCAGGTCTGCATCGTGACTTTGGGCGTGATCCCTGGCTGCATGGCATATGCGGGTTGAGGGCTTCTGACTAGCGCCCCTTTGACAGAGACATTGACAATTAGGGAACCGCCAACATTGGGCTGGATAGCTCAGTTGGTAGAGCACCGGAGTGATATACTAATTGAGATGTAATTGGTCAGTGCGCACTGTTTGATTGATGTACTGTGGTCACCTGACCAAAGGTTGAGATCTGATTGGTCAGTGTGCACTGCTGATTGACAGAGATGACACCCACCTTGGTTCATGACCAGCTATGATCTGCTGGAATACGCCCACGCACGCCCCTCGCTTGCCTTCCCAGTATTCAGGATTGGGGTCCAATCTTTCCAGGACATCGAAATTAGCCTTGGCCGCGTTGTAGAACTGGCCATCTACCGATAGAAAAGATGAGATTTGAGGATCAAGAGACTGTGACAACAAGAAAAGTGTGTCTTCCAACACAAATGCCCCTCCACCATAACCGTCCCATAACTTGACACAGCTGCCACCCTCTTGATATGATAATACGAGCTATCTGGTTCTGTGGGACTATTCAGTTACATAACCATTGATTTGTTTAGTTAACACTGATCTTGCCCTGTGGCACCCCCCTCCCTCTGAATTAAAACTGGTTTCACAGGGTAGGTGTTGTGTAATGAAATGTGAAGTGAAAATTAAACAACAAGATCCTACAGAATGAAGTAGAAAGAGAAACAAGACCAGTAGTGACAGGCTTCTTGGGGTACCACTACCAAGCTATATGCCACGTTTAATGACAATACATCAAGTCTTACTTGAGTTGATATCGTGATGACAAGCATTTTTTTTCTTTTAGCCATATTGACCTTGACCTTTGACCTGTAACCCCCAAATTCAATAGGCTTCTTGGGGTTCCACTAGAAAGCTACCTGTCAAGTTTCACAACAATACATTAAGTTATCGTCATGACTAGCATTTCCTTTGTTTAACTTATCACGATAAGCATTTCTTTTGTTTAAGCCATATACACCTTGAACTTTGACCTATAGCCCTAAAATTCAAATGGCTTCTTGGATGTACCACTTGTAAGCTACCTGACAAGTTTCATGACAATACACCAAGTCTAAATTGAGTTATCGTGATGACAAGCGTTTCTTTTGTTTTAGCCATATTGATCTTGACCAATGTACCTGTAGCCCCGAAATTCAATAGGCTTCTTGGAGAATCCACTATCAAACTACCTGCCAAGTTTTATGACAATCCATCAAGTCTATCTTGAGTTATCGTGATGAAAGCATTTCTTTTGCTTTAGCCATATTGACCTTGACCTTTGACCTGTAACCCCCAAATTCAATAGGCTTCTTGGGGGTTCCACTAGCAAGCCATCTTTAAAGTTTCATGACAATACGTCAATGCTAATTTGAGTTATCGTGATGACAAGCACTTCTTTTGTTTATGTTATCATAATGCATTTCTTTTGTTTTAGCCATATTGACCTTGACCTTTGACCAGTAACCCCCAAATTCAATAGGCTTCTTGGGTGTGCCCCTAGCAAGCCACCTGTGCAGTTTTATGACAATCCATCAAGTCTTCTTTGAGTTATCGTGATGACAAGCATTTCTTTTGTTTTAGCCATATTGACCTTGACCTTTAACTGGTAACCCCAAAATTCAATAGGCTTCTTGGGGGTTCCATTAGCAAGCCATCTTTGAAGTTTCATGACAATACATCAATGCTAATTTGAGTTATCGTGATGACAAGCACTTCTTTTGTTTACGTTATCATAATGCATTTCTTTTGTTTTAGCCATATTGACCTTGACCTTTGACCAGTAACCCCCAAATTCAATAGACTTCTTTGGGAACCCACTAGTAAACTTCCTGCTAAGTTTCATGACAATCCATCAAGTTTATCTTGAGTTATCTTGATGAAAGCATTTTCCTTTGTTTTGGCCATATTGACCATGACCTTGTACATGTAGCCCTCAAATTCAATAGGCTTCTTGGGGAATCCACTATCAAACTAAATGCCAAGTTTCATGACGATCCATCAAGTCTATCTTGAGCTATCGTGATGAAAGCAAAAGTGTGACATACACACACCCAGACTTGTTTCACATACCTTGTGTGGACTTTCCTTTCTTTTCGTGTAGTTAAGGAACACCAGTGGAAAAACTCATTTTTCTCAAACTGTGAAAACTCTTACAACCCAATTTTTTTTCTATGATTCCCTTTAGTGTTTCTCTTCATTCTGCTACAGATAAACCTAACCCAAAAATGCCTCTAAACCTGTTTTCCAGAAATGGGGAAACACTGTGTGGACGTGGGCAAGTCCACACAACGTCGGTGCTACCTACATTATGTGGACGTGTTTTGTTCGGAAGTCCACACTGCGTATGTAAGACAAGCTCACACCCACACACACACACCCACACATTCTCAAATTTGTATCCTTGTGGAGACATTCCTTTGTTCTCGTGTAGTAAAGTGTTCAATTTTTAAAGTGAAGTTTCAAAATGCTCTTATTTTAACCAGAATTAGTTTCCTTGGCTGAAATTTGGACTTAATATCACTTTTCTAAAACTCTTTCATTTGCGACAGCTAGATCAACCCACCTTGGAAATTCCTAGTTTTTGAGTAAAACCCATATATCTATTTCGTGAAAACCTTGTGGAGACCTATTCATCTATAGAAATTGCCTTGTGGAGACCTTTACAATGTTTTGTTCCCTATTGTGTGTGTGTCTCCACAAGGATACAAATTTGTAGTCACCCCCCCCCCCCCCCCCCCCCCCCCCACACACACACACACACGGAAGGACATGACAGAAACAGTATGCCCTTCGGCTTCGCCGGGGCATAATTATATTTTGAGGTCAAGCAAAAAAAATCAGAAGCTTAGTTCGAACGAAAAGCCTGAATTTTTCAGTCATATCACCACGGTGTTGACAAAGTGCATCCTTCATTATTCAAGCTAATGACACAAAGTAGTAAATGTGCAACGAATCATTTTGCTTTCTTTTTGACAAGGATTCGTATTCTCGTTGATTTTACACGTGGAAACAATGTTGCAACCTGACGCCACTTTTGTCTTCACACATCATCTCAATAAAGATCAGTCATTGCAAAAATGTTTCACATGTAATATGGGACTGAGAAACATTTCCAATTTGGATCGGAAATACTTGGAAAGTTTTTTTGACTCTCCATAGACTTTGTACACAACAACTGAAGTAGCGTCTGGATACTGCATTCTTTTCTACACATGCGTTATATTTGAATTTATGTCTCACTCTACGATTTGCGTTTGGACGAAGTGACAAATATATTTCGTGAAATTGGCTGCAGGTTGAGATTGAGTGACTGGATACTAGTTTGGGGCTAATGCCAAAATCTTGACCAAACATACAAAATTAGGGGATGATGTTTTACCTTGTAGCCGTCGTTAGCAATGAGCTACATCAGGCTGAACGATTCGCCAGACGTCTCCAACTTAAGGTACAACTCCCAGGCTAGTCTGGCCTTACGATTCACGATGTCTGAACAATGAAAACAACACAAAGAAAGGTTATAAATACATAGGATACTGCTGTAAGAAAACACATTGGGGTCCACAAAAGATGTTCGGTTCAGTGGATGCTCGTTTTAACAATTTTCGGCCAACAATGCTCAGTGTAACTGTGTACAATATTTGGGAGCCAAGAGGGATGTTCAATGTAGCAAATTTCTGTCGTACAATCTGCTTGAAATGTGATAGAACAAATCCAACATGGCAAATGTACGACTAAGATGTGAAGTTTACACGTTTAAACGGAAAAACTTCTCAATCCGTTTACAAATTTCTCAAAACAAGAATTATAGAAAAGGGAGTTCTGTTCACGCGATCTTCCTTGGAGATAACCACACATAGCACAAATAATTAACGTTGTTTTCAAATCCTCCTTAATTTACAAAACCTTAGAAGCACCGTAGTACTTGATTACATTTGGGGAACACGTAGTTACATTTTTACTTTATCAACGACTGCCTGCTATTTACTATGTCAACCATTGTTGATTTATCATGTCAATCACACCGGTCTGCAGATCAGACATAATGGGTAAGCAAAAGCCACTGTCAATGGCTAAACGTTTAAAACGGTTCTTAAAATATTTGCTTAACGTTTACAAAATGAAACGCAAAGTCACATCCTTAATATACGATCAGGGCGATGATTGCATGCTGGTTATGTCATTGTTAGAGACCCTTCAGTCTACCTCACACATGGGCAACATGTGCATCTCCCTAATGCCACTCTGGATTTTCCAGCAGTACATGAAATGCATGCACGCGACGTGTCCTGACTTTAGTTGGACATTTGGTTGTGCAGTCACAATTGTGAGTGGTCAATACATTATGAGTTGAGGCTTAACAGGTGGATTCATTCCCATCATTAGCAACTTGGAAGTTGGAAGAGGAAACGTCATTCACAATTGACGGTAATACTCACAGCATCTTGCCAACCAGAGACACGTGTAGTCATTCTTGATCTTCTCACTCTGAATGAGCACAAAAATCTGGGAAACAAGAGAAACGAAACCCACTCCAATTAAATCATGGTAAAACCAATTAAGTGCCCCACCAAAACAGTGGTCTAGGAGGCACAGCAAGATCCCCATCCTATTCGCCCTGAACAAGGCTACAAGCCACTCCAGATATACAGGGCTACAAGTCAGCGCAAAGCAGCTAAATCAACCACACCATCTCTGCCCTCATAGGCACCCACTTATAAGCCATCAGTGTGGGGGTTTGGTCAGTATCAAATGAGGGGAATAATGCTCATTGTGATTTTTGGCAAGGTATGCACCCCTCTTAAGTCAGAAAATATGTGACAGCATTGCAGCGGTGGCAGCTTTTTGGGTGCTATCACTTGTTTACTTTTTTTTTAAATGGCAGCCAAAACATGCTTGTTACAACATACAATTGATCCGGTTCAAGCATATTGACGGCCATTTTGAAAACACAAATCAAAAGTGATAACACTGCCACCACTCACACTGCAAAGCTATCACACATTCTCCAACTCTAGATGTGCCTTTCAAAAAATCGCTATGAGCATTGCTCTTTTCAATCGTCTGGTACCGGTGGCCCATTTTTTGGACCAAAGCTGATAGCCTATTACTCCTGGGTGGGGAGAAGCAATGAGTGACAAAGTGCCTTGCCCAAGGGCACACGCACCATGACCCCAGGCTGGACTCGAACCCACAACCTGCAGCTTTACCCGCAGACCACGAATCCAACGCCCTTAACCACGAGGCCACAGCACTCCACACTCCTCTTGAATCAGGACAGATCATAGGTTGGAGGGAAATAAGCACCAGGCAAGGAATTCCAAAGAGATGCAGCACGTGGCAAAATAAGCTATTGGAATATCTTTTAGTTCTACATCTAGGTATACGGCAACAGTATATGGATGAGAACAGACAGAAAGTCAGGCTTCTCTCTCAAACAGGGACGACCATCGGTGGACATTGATACAAAATTCCACTTCTCTTAGAAATAACAGCACACCAGGTGCCGTGATTTCACAGGATGCTTGAGACTATTATTCCCTAACAGTCAGGTATTTCATAATAACTTGGTAGTTTTGGTTTTTGATGTTTGCAAATGAAAGGCACCATGACTAGTTCAGGCACCATGACTAGTCGCTGCGCCATGACTGGCCAACTATTGAGGGCGCAACAACGAAAATTGGGTCCGGGAGTCCAACCTACCTCCTCTGCTTCCTTGTAGTTGCCTGCTGTGGCTTTGGCCTGCGCATAGTTGTAGTTGAACCTATCGTCGTTGTAGAAGTAACTCTAGAAACGTAAACACACAAAAATGTCATCTTAGTTTTTCTGATAATATTCCCACCTGCACTACTTTTTTCCCCCGGAAAAGGGCCAATACAGCTAAACCATGACACAGAAACAACTATGAGCAAGTTGGGGCGAGACTAGTGGTCGATTCCTGACGTAATTTGATGCCTGAGCACTAATATCAACATGCAAACGCCTCTAGTCAGATGATGGTCAAAATTGTTCACCAAATAAAGAGAATGGTCAAGAATAATACTAAATACTTTTGGTCTTGAATAATAGAGGGTGATTGGCAATAAATAATTTCAGGTTTTTGGAGAAAAGTTCAAAAACGAATAGTGTCTTACATTAAATGCATTTGATAAAATGACCTGAGAGCAAATATGCAGTCCTATGCCCCCTGTCTGTCTGGCCTCAACTCCATTTCCAAAGCTGTTAATGAAATAAAATGAATCAATAAACATTACTGCAACTTTCCTAAAAAAATATAGCGGTGCTGTTGAAACCCCTCGGCCTGAGTTTGTTGATATAAGGTGCAAAATTACAAGTACATGTAGTAGAATAGTTAATACTGGTCAATGGAATGACCTAGACCTTGACCAATGACGTTGACCTTTGACCTTTTGACCCCAAAATCAATCCAAACTTGATTTTCCTGAAGGGCAACCCCTGAAGTTACAAACCCGAATCACATTTCTAACTCAAATTATAATCAAGAAACAATCTACCTTCAACTCACCACTGATATACTCAGCCCAAAATAAGAAAATCACTTTCTGACATACTTCTAGTTGGGTAAAGTAGAGATATATTTATTTATTAATTAAAAATTTGCTAACTTTAAATAACTTTTTTAGTGTTGACCTGGATTTATGCAAGTGCCGCTGCGTTAGGGAACACTCAGCTGAATTTTGGCCCAATTTCCGGACGCCACCGTTTTTAAGTTTTGTTCAGAATTGTATGGCAGTGAAATTGTTTACAGAATTTAAAAGGCAAACACTATTAAAAAAGTACCAGTAATAACTGAATGAATTCGAAGTTTATCAACAAAGAAGTTTGGCAACCGTGCATGAGGAAAGTTAGGAGAAACGTCGCAGTGCGCCACGTTAGGGAACACCACTATATGTGTGCATTGATACTGGGTTCTTAATTGGGGTAGGTGCGGTGAACTAAAAACAATAGGCCCTGGCCCTGCTGACTATATGACTATACAATCATGGAGCTATAAAAAGAGGTCTTACCCAACAATGTATGCAAAGCATTCAAAAATACTCCGGAAAGACTCCCATACCTCAGACGTCACTGACCAACAAAGACTAGGAAATGTCCTTTGACATGTTTTCTCAGTTTGCATGCCATGGTAGCAACTTTTCCCTGCTAAATCCAACATTTTTGGACATATTATCCCTTTAAATGGTGGCATAGGTCACTGTAGGGAAAAATTAGTGATGTCCAGATATATGGGAATCTTTCCAGTACGCCGAAAGGAAGTTGAATTTTGAGAAATAAATAGTCCAGACTTACCTGACGTACAGGCCTATATAGCCTACCGCTGCATTATCTGCTGCATAATCTTGATCGATAACCAAACAACAGGTGGCGCTCTTTACAATTAACGGTGTCAGGTACAATCTCGTTCAAGTGATGTTGAGCGATACGCGTTGCCATGGTGATATGTCATCACTGTGCTCTGCATCCTGTATGTGCTCCACAGTTGACATCCTTGGTAGAACCTTCAAACTCTGTCAACTTCAAGAAACAAAGCAAAACAAGTTATTTTAACATCTTAACCTTCTAATTCATAAGGTTAATTGTTTTCATCTGCCATTTTTGGAAAGGTCATTGTTTGAAGAATTTGGTGGACAATAACTACTGTGAAATTTGAGAATAATTTCCCCAAAAATTGACAAATTTACAAAAGATAAAAATGGGGAGGGGACAAAACCCATGTATATGCAAACTTTTTCACCAAATAAAGAGAATGGTCAAGAATAATTCTAAAACAATTTGGTGATGAGTAACAGAGGGTAATCATGGCAATGGCAAGATTACCAAATGCGAAGTTCACTAATTTTCCTCTGTATTGCCTAACAAGCCCCCAGATAGCAATTTCATGTCATCAAAGTCAATTTGAGCAGTGAGAACATACAAGCATTTTCTTAGAAAACACTTAGAATCTTTCAGTCCACTCTCATAGGGTTTGCACACAGAGTGTTGAGTGAACTTCGTATATAGGCCTATATGGAAATCTTTCCATGGCAATAACTAGACCTTGACCAATGACGTTGACCTTTGACATTTTTTCGATAGATGATTTTCAGTTCGCTCGGAGCGCGCCACGCACTTGTATGCATGCACATAACTATCATTTCACTTGTATCATACCCCCCGCAGCACGCTCCGAGCGAACCGAAATCATAATGCGTGCACGTTTCAAGTGTCAGGTTGGCTCAGTGCGGAAAGGCATATTCTAAGTGGACCATTTTGAGCGGCAAATTTGAAAGTCGATTTTCGCATTTTCGTTCATTTTCGGGCGTTGTTTTCGCTTCATATCGACGTCAGATTGAGATCGGACCTGTTTTAAACTGTGGAACACTGAGAATTTTGTACGTATCTACTCTGTTATAAGTTGTAACCTTGTTTCTAGTGAGAAATAATTTTTTGAAGCTGGAAATTACCGCTGGGAATGGCGATTTTTCCGAAGTTTTTATGTGGTGGCGCCCTTGCCTTTGGTATGCCTACAAGTTGTACCGTACCCCCCGCGGCACGCTCCGAGCGAACCGAAAATCATAATGACAGTGACAGGATGATGTTGTCCAGCTCGCACTATAAGCTTGGACCTTACTATCGCCAGACCATGTCCAAATGTTAAAAAAGGCGTTAAGTTGGGTCCAAGTTACTCGGACTAGTCCGAATGTTAAAAAGGTGATAAGTGTGGTCCAAGTTACTCGGACTAATTCATTGGTAAATTTAAATTTCCCTGCTAAATCCAATATTTTTGGACATTTTAAACCGGAATTGAGAGAAATGAAGGGAGAAATGAGGGTACAATTGCAGAATACCCCGCCACTCGACCTATCCACGGTCCACCTCGTAGCCGGCTACGAGGTCACGGTTGATTGACCTCAATAAACCTCCTCAGCGCTACTTGCATGTACTATACGTCATGGACTGGTCCACTGCACTCCCATCCGTATCCGCGTAGCCGGCAACAGGGTAGTTGGTTTGGACTTAAAAAAAATTCAGCAACTTATCCCATTCCTTTTGTGTTGCTTCGTTCTCAAATAATGGACCCCCACTCAGTATCCGCGTAGCTGGCAGGCCAGGGTACTTGAACTGTTTCTTTTCCACTAATTCCAGTGATTCCAACCTCGTCGTAGCCAGAGAATTTAATAGGGATGTATTTCCGAGTGGCGGGGTACTGCAATTACTCCTAAGACTAAGAGTAATGTCCAGACTAGCTCCTAAGAGTAATGTCCAGACTAGATATGGGAATCTTTCCAGTACGCCGAAAGGAAGTTGAAATTTTGAAAAGTAAATAGTCCAGACTTACCTGATGTACAGGCCTAGCCTACCGCCACATCCATTCATATCTGCCATGTCTGCAGTGTCAATGTCTGTAACGTTCAAAGATCTTTGGTTGATATCGCGCGGGATAACCAAACAACAGGTGGCGCTCTTCACAATTAACGGTGTCATATACAATCTC